TTAAAGTTTCATTGTAATTCAACAGTCATATAAATAACTAACATTTTATTGAAAGGTCAAAATTATATGCGGAATTGAAACGTTTGTTGAATTTACTCGAATAATACATTCCATTGATTGTTGAATTAAAATGTTGGTTTATTGCTGAGTTGAACTATATGTATATAGATTATTTTTCAGCATAATATATAATAAATTGGCGTTCCATTTTCCAATACTCTGAAACAATATTTTTCTTCGGAATTAATAAAAGCTTCAAGTTATTTCATTACTCTTTTTTATTCAAATAACAATTTTATTCATGTAACATTTTAAATCAAGTGTCATTTAAAATAGAACAAATTTTGCGAACAATCGTTTTTAATGTGTCGAACAAATGCATGAGTCAATTGAATTCAAACAAATAAATTGTTAGTTGAATAAATTGAGGAATGAATATTTGTGACAATAAAAAATAAAACGGCGTTCCATACTCATCCGTCTAGATTCCTCTAAAAATTTTATGGAACTGATTTAAAATATAGTTTCTATAAAAACTCAAATTTACTAGAGAAAATCGGATTACAAATCCAAAGAATTTCACCCCGTTCAAGGTGAGACTAATATAATCATTTGTTTTCCACAGAAAAATCATGAAAAACTATTGAAACTCATCGAAGGAGTATACAGGTATCTTCCTTTGGGATCGATTGTCAACAATAAGGTACTGATAGTTCACGGAGGAATTTCGGATAGTACGGATTTGGAAATGATCAGGAGTTTGGATAGGGGCAAGGTACGTATTGTGTGTATACAAATATGAATATATATCCCAAAGATCCTGACTTTTGAACAGCACCGTGATGAAGTTAAAAAAAATTATTTTTTATGATAACTGGTATGATTTTCTGGTTTCATACTGATTTGTGGAACGTAGAACGGAACTTCTATGCATCAATAGGTATTTTCTGCTGTACGACTTTGTTAATGACGCCCGTGGGAAATTTGAAGTGACTTATTCAAAAGAGAAAAGGGACATTGCATTTTCTGGAAAACTGAAAAGCTCATTCCCACCTCAGCAAACCTACTTTCTCCGTGAAATTCATCCATTTCCTTGTATAGAAGATGAATTCTACGTTTCACAAAAATATCTAGGATCATACCAGATTAATTTTGTTGAATGCGATTTTTCTCTTTAAAACGTGAGAGTCTTGAAAATCAATAGTTTGGACTTTCAACACATAGTTTATAAGGAGTTTTTTCCTTAAAATCAGTTCAAAAATAAACTTCTTGTTTTCGTTCATGAAAAAATGTTTCTTGGAGTTAACTAAATATGACACATTTATTTTTATATGTTATTTTTATGTGTTATAGTTATAAACTATGCAAATCCCTCTCATCCTCTCTGTAGCTTGAAGCCTGTTTCCTTTCGATTTTGGTGTTTATTTGACCATTCAGATTTTTCTGGCCATACTTTCCATCTTTCAATCGTCAGGTTTTCCCATTTCCTCGACGAATCCAACGTACTTATACTTTCTGTTTTAGGTAACTGGATGGAAAACTGAGTTGTTGATCTGATGATACTGTCAATTCTCTTGAAGTTTTAATCGCGAATTTACCAGTCTTTCCGACTTCATTATGGCTTCCATCTGGCCTTTGATGATGTGATCGTCCTAATGTTCGTTGCGAATTCAATACAAAATCAATTTCCTGATTGGAATAAACTTTCGAAATCCTCTTGTATTAATCAGGATCGAAACGTTTGTCACAACCGTCTGTTTTCGTATATTTTACACTTTTCGAAATCCTAACGATGAGAATCGAATTTAAAATACCCGGAATATCCAAGAGAAGACATAATTTCTGTGATAGAATTTGCCGTGATGAAACCACTTTTGAATCAGTTTCTGTTTTAAAAAAAATCTGTTTAAAATCTGTTTTTCCGTTAACCAGCTGTCGCACCCCTACGAACAACAACCCTCAGAAGTCGGAACTTGTGCGGGCTAAGGATTAATGAGGTCTTACCTTTTAACGTGTGATTCCTAATACGGGGTTTATTTTCAACATAGTGATGTCGTTTTTGTGTCATAGATTATTTTCCGACCTCATGTTTCTATCATCTAACTAAGAGTTTTCTGATGTCAAGCATATGTGGAAATTCATCAGTTTCTGAAAATTTGTGTATCCCATACCCGTTATGTGTGCATCTTTCCAGGTTTTCATCGTTTCAGATCTTGAAAATTTTCACCTGAAAATTTGTAATGAAAAAATGTGCCCCTCGACAGAACACAAGCACTACAGGAAAATCCTTAAGCCGCTCTTAGACTGGTTACCAACATAAAAAAAATGCTAATCGAATGTACTTAGAACACGAAATTTGAATATTCCCCTTATTTGTATTTTTATTATTATTCTCACACTAGAATTTCAAAAAAATTCGCTATTCTCATAATTCTGTTTCGTTTTCCTGTTACTTCTGCAGTGTAACTCACTCTGTTCAGATTCGTATCATACTAGAACGTGTAATTTGATCACATCGTTCATGTATCGAGAATAATCAAATTCGAATATAGGCATATATCAAATGACAGACAATTCAGCGATAGCATCTGTTCAATTTGAATGATTGATGGAAATTCTTGTGATAAATATCTGAAACATCGAAAGGGATGAAATACGATATAATCGAACTAAAAATGTTTATCAGTACCTGTGGAGTACGCGAATTTGAATCCTAAGGATCTTACTGTAAATTTATGAATAAAGGTTTTGTTAATAAAAATACCAGATTTAAATACGATACATGTGACTACAAGCCAATTCACGGCTAAAAGTGTTCATTTACTCAAAATTTTGATTACCTCGGAAGATTTTGCTTTCATTAAAATAACCCTAACGTGTAGAGAAGTCGTGTCAAAGTTACGACCCGCATCCGGTCTTTGGGCCGTATCACTATGGCCCGCGATGGCAGTGTATCAGAGAAAGAAGAATCATGTTTTTCAGAGCTTTCAGACTTCACTCGAATCCTCTACAGAAGTTTCAAAATGCGCACATTACATTCATAAGTAATTTCAAGAGCAGCGCGTGCCTAGACAAGCCAGTGTTAATTAGGTACCTATTTAATTCTAGTAAGCAACTCAATCATAGACAGTAACGCCATCTCTTAGCAACAAGCGGAAAAACACTATTATTTATTTGATTGTAACACTGAAAAAATAAGAATAGACACATTGTCATCTTCAAAATCTAAACTTCAAGGTCAAAATGTTTACTGAGCTAGGTTAGGTTAGGTTAGATCCAAAGTGAGTGAGTCTATTCGACCCGCACAGGTTTATTGTGGCTCACACTTATTCACACTCGACCAAATGAACCCAGCTCCTTAACGAAGCAGATTAGTTTGTTTCGTGAGTGGTCTTTCAGGTCAGATGGTATAAGTGCAGCTCTGCCAGACTCTGAAAACCTAATTCGGTTCGCAGCGGGGCAGGCATAAAGTATGTGTCGTGCTGTTTCATCATTTTCCAAACAGAGGCGACACACACTGTCTTCGGACAGTCCGAGTCTCTGCATATGATGATTCAAATGACCGTGCCCTATAAGAAGGCCTGTTAGACATCGTAGTTCATCCCTACTGTAGTCCAACAACTGGTTTCAAGCTTCGGAGGGTGAATAAACGCCTTAAAGTGAGCCAATCCTGGAAAATTCTACCAGAAGTCTATAAATCTTCTTGCAATCCATGTGTTCAGTCTTTGTTTGGCAAAGCCTAAAGAAATGCCAATGACAAGTTCTGGTCCGATGAAACTGCTTGCACCACCCACCTTTGCAAGGGAGTCAGCAGCCCCATCGTCTTCCAGGCCAGTCTGGCCAGGAATCCAGGCCAAAGACAATCTGTTATGTCTTCCTATTGAGGAGAGTCGTTTTTGGCAATTTGCTACCAATTTAGACGTTGGTCAGTAGGAGCCAAGAGCTTCCAACGTCGCTAGTCTGTCCCATAATATTTTCATTGACTTGTATATGAGGTTGGATTCTTACAATCTCTCCGCACACAATTCAATAGCGTAATTTTCCGCTTGAAATACAGTCGCATAGGTTCCTAGGCACGTTGATATATCTGTCCTGGATCTGCGACTGAAAACACATGCACCAGAACCGGAAGGTGTTTTTGATCCATCCGTGAACCAACAACTATCTGCTCCTAATATTTCCTTCTCTCGGAGGATCCAGTCCTCTCTACTCGGGAACAGTACTTTATAAGGAAGTTCGTAGTTGACAGTTGGAGGCATAAAGTCAGAGGTCATTTCTAGAATGCTGTGACTTCCAGTGTCAACCGACATTCGTATGCACTATGAATTAAAATGATTTGCGCAACTGGCAATGTGCACAAATCTATATACAGTTCATCTAGCCTCTGTCTCCAGAAAAATGTGAAGAGGAGGTAGATCTGGAAGGATCTCCATGTCCGCTGATGGTGTGGTTGTGATGACACCACTGATGGCCGGACAAGCCTGTCTCTGTAAGCCAGAGAGCTTCGCCTGCGCCGTTTTCTGCAAAGCCTTCGGCAACCAGGCAATTGCACCATAAGTGATCATAGGTCTGACAATCATCACATAATTCAATTGATTTGTTTGGGACCTAAACCCCAAGTCTTATCAAAAATCATTCTACATGGCCATAGGGACAGTCTGCTTTGTTTAAAACTTTTTCCAAGTGAGCGTTCCAGGTGAGTTTTTTATTTACTAAAGCTAATACTGAGAGCGAAGATGCCTTGAAATCAAATTTTATTATTGCATTAGAAATCACGAAGAGATCAAAACCTTTCACTTTGATGTGATTTTTAACAGCCATATATTATACATATACTGAATAATGAAATAAATGAAATGTTAAAATGATTCAGTACATTTTTTTCATTCGAATCTGGCCGCCTGCACATTCTAAATTCAATATATGGCCCTCTGTCAAATCGACTTTGACACCTCTGGTTTAAAGGGAGAGTGTTACCCTTTTTATCCAAGCTACATATCCACCCCTGATGACAGTGAGTCAAAACAATTTATTTTTCAGCACTTTATGAACCAATAATCACATGAGCTAACGTCCAATTTATGCAGACGCTCATGCTTCGGATCTGACAAATTAAACAGCTATTAGACGGGCTCACACGAATTACAGCGGTATACGACATCACCGTGTCAATAAAGTTATTTCCGGACGAGGAAATCGAATTTTCAGCTCCGATTTTCACTGCATATTACTTGTTGAGATTGGTTTTTAATAATATGAAATTAAGGGTAATTGGGAAGAGCTAGGCGGCTTGATAGCATAGTGGTATCCAATCACTTCACATGATGTTTTGTAATAAATCACTTCCTAGGGTCAATTATTCCTGACATCATATTTAACGGAAGAATGATGACTTGCCAAGGGAGCGAGCATATACAATTTCGTGAATGGTACCTAAAGTTGTCAGTAGAATTATCGTGGTTCATGTTTATTAATAATTCAGCACTACTAAATAAGAGAGGGTCTACCATCAAAATTGCTAATACTGCAGGACATTTATTTCATGGAAATGAATATCTGCAACCTCTGAGAAACCTAAACAAATTCGGGAGTAAATTTTTTCATTCGATGCATTTTTACTCTGGCCAAACCCATTCTTATGATGTACAACATTCCTTTGAAACCTTTCATCTTTCCAGACGATTAGAAAAACAGTTTATTGAAAACTATATATAGAACTGAATCACACAATGACATCAAAAATTATCGAGAAGTTTGCAATCAATTTGAATTACTCAAATTATTAGATAGTCTGGTAACAAGAAAGCTATCATGGGATTGTAGACATACAATCATAAATCGGCTATACGGGTTCAGTCGAGGTAGATCTACCAGCACAATTCTGCTCATTTATTAACACTTCACAAAAAATGCCTTCGAAAATAGACACCAGGTTGATTCTATTTACATAGATTTCTCAAAGGCATTCGACCGAGAATATCACAGTTAGTTTTTGCATAAACTAAATAATTGTCTTGCATGCAGAGTCCAATATTTTCCTCAATCATCTGGTGTACCGCAAAGATCTCATTTGGGACCATTACTTTTCAACGTATTCGTTAATGACTTGTTCTGTATCTGTAGAGTAGGGAGAGTGAGTGTAGGCCACATGTGACCCATTGTACATTCTCCCAAGAAGTTGTCCTCCTAGGTCATCGTCCTGTCCTTTCCAGGAAGATGGACAGGTAGCTGGTAGGCAGGTGTAGGCCAAAACTCGCCTAACACACACTCTCGTATTGACGATAACTCCTGACATTCTCATAAGACATGCCTGATAGTTTCATCTTCCTGTTCACACATCCTGCATAGAGGTATGTCCACTAGCCCCATATTGTGGAGGTGTTTTTTTAGTTGACAGAGACGAGTCAGAAATCGTACTGTTAAGCGTAGATTTTTCCTGGTCATCGCCAGATATTTCCTCGGCGCCAGCTTCCCAGAGTCACCCAAGTTGATCCTGGCCAAATTGCATCCTTTGATTCCATCCCATCTCTTTAGGGATTGAGCATGGGTGTGACGTTTGGCTGGTCCCGCAATTGTCGAAGTCATCAGGCCGTAGGTGTGACAGTGTCCTAAAATTCTCAGTCCAGCCGCTTCCTTGGCTGAAGAGTCGGCAATGGGATTTCCTTTACTCCTGTCGTCCCTTTCAACCCACCTCAGGATAATGTTATTATCTACTGAGGCTTTGGCTGAATCTTGGTGGCACTCTAGCCCTGAGGTAACACGTTGTCTGTTCAAGGCTAATAAGGCTTGTCCACTATCGATGCTGATTGTTAGGTTTTTGTCAGAAATCCCTTTCCTGGTTATTTCTTTTGTGGCGATTGAGATACCAGACAGTTCTGTTTGGACCACGCTGGTATTTTCTCCGATCCCCCATTCAATCCTTAGGCTTAGTGATCTGGAGTACACTCCACATCCTGAACCTTCTTTGGTTTTTGAGCCATGCGTATATATGCGTATTGCATTTGTAGCATCTGACTCGGTATTCTATTCTATTTGTATTTTGTGAGGTTTATTAAACATAAACCTGGGTTCAATTGCTTCACTGTTTGCCTGCAGCAGAGGATGCGCAGTTGGCGCTTCTCACCATTGACCCATTCTTACTTCGAGGTTTACATCAGCCGTGCGCAATCGTGACATGGCCATAAACGCAACCTCCTTAACGTACAGGTCCAAAGGGGTCAGACCAGTAAGTAATTCCATTGCCGCGGTTGGTGTTCTCATGGCTCCTGTGATGTTTAAACAAGCCAGTCGGTGTATTTTTGGATGGCCGTTGCTTGTAGAACTTTCGGTCCCCATGCAATGGCTTATACTTGTTATTAACTATAGTGAATTTATTTTGTTTGCTGATGATCTGAAGATGTTTGAAGTTATTCATGACTCAGCTGATACTGAAATATTACGGTGCGATTAATTTAACTTTGTACACTGGTGTGATATAAACTTATTGCCATTGAATATAGACAAACGTGATAAATTTACTTTTTGCCGTTACGAAAATCCCATAAATATTTCATAGAAATTCAAGAAATCGGGACTGGAAACAACAAATGAAATCAAAGATTCAGGAATTGATCTTGAGCCGGAAATGTCATTCAAACCCCATATTGCAAATGTTACTTCCATTAAAAGCGTATATTGCTCAATCGTTAGATCAGTAATCGAATACAACTCCACAATTTGGTATCCTTTATATAATGTGGATATTCATATGTTTGAAAGTATTGAAAACAAGTTTTTAAGGTACTCTGCAAAAAAACTGGTATATTATATTGGTGAATATAACTATGAGACTTTTTGGGAAAGAAAGGAAGGAAGTAATCAATTTGAAAATTAGTAACTCTATACATGGATATGTAGAACATGCAAAGACGTAACTTTCAGACACAAACTGAAAGAAAGTCCTCCTGAAACAGGAGGAAAAACGAAAGAAAAAAATCCTTTCGAAACAAATACTTCTCTATGAACACTAAATTATACATAAGATATACACATCCATGTATAGAGTTACTCATTTTCAAATTGATTACTTCCTTCCTTTCTTTGGAAGATTCTCTCATCTCTTTTTTTTGTATCAGATGGAGTAGTAGAAAGCCAAAAACTTTCTTTCCCAAAAATTAATCACTCCTAAAAATATAACCCCTTCAATTCAAACTATGAGACTATATTAAACATTCTTAACTTAAATACTCTGGCTCATAGAAGATTATAATCAAATCTTACGCTAACTCACAAAATAATCAATGGAATTGAACATGTTAGTATTCTGAAAACTGAAAACTCCCATGAGAAAGTAACTAATGAAAAGTGGAAAAAACTGGGTTCAAAAAATTATTGTTAACATCATTGTTGTGACATTAAAAATTCATCATCATATCGTCACCTGGTTGTCATTAGTTGTCATTGGCAAAATGAGATTTAATGATAACCACTGAATGGTTACTTCAATTGCCATCCAAAACACTCTAATATTTGTTTTACATCAGTTTTAATATTGATACATTGTTTATTACAGTATGCTTCACTGCTACGCCCTCCTTTAAGCGAGAGTTCAGCTCCAGGATCTGACGTTATCAACAAAGTAGAATGGAAACAGGTAACGAAAATTGTGTTTGAAACAAATGATGAATATTCTCTCATTCAATTTTGGGGCTTTATAATGTAAATTTTTGATATGCATATAATAATTATACATTTTCATTGATATTTTGACATATTCGAACAAGTATCATTTGCTCCCAATGTCAATGTCAATGAAAACGGCCCAGGCTTACAGAGACAGGCTTGTCTGGCCATCAGTGGTGCCATCAGTACCACACCGTCAGCGGACATGAAGATTTTTCTAGATCTATCTCCTCTCCAGATTTTTCTGGAGAGAGAGGCTACATGGGATACATATAGACTTGCACACATTGCCAATCGCACAAATCAATTTGATGCAGAGTGAAACAGACTGTTGGTTGACACTGGAAGTCACAGCATTCTGGAAATGACCTCTGACTTCATGCCTCCAACTTTCAACTACGAACTGCCGAGTAGAGAGGACTGGATCCTCCGGGAGAAAGATATATTGAGAGCAGATAGTTGATGGTTCACAGATGGATCAAAAATACCTTCCGGTTCTGGTGTAGGTGTTTTCAGTCGCAGACCCAGGACATATATATCAACTTGTCAAGGAACCTATGTGACTGTATTTCGAATGGAAGTTTACGCTATTGAGATGTGTGCGGAGAGATTGGAAGAATCCAATCTCATACAGAAGTCAATAAAAATTTTCTCGGATGGTCAAGCGGCGTTGGAAGCTCTTGGCTCCTACCGAGCAACGTCTAAATTGGTAGCAAATTGCCCAAAACGATTCTTTCCGATAGGAAGACTTAAAAGATTGTCTCTGGTCTAGATTCCTTGCAGAGGAGGATGCTGCAAGCAGCTTCATCGGACCAGAACCTGTCATTGGCATCGCTTCAGGCTTTGCCAAACAAACATTGAACACCTGGATGGCAAGAAGATTTATGGACTTTTGGCAGAATCTTCCAGGCCATGTCAAAATCGATTGTAGAAGATCAGCGGCGGCCAGCGTTAGTTTTTTTTCAGGAGATGATTTATAACATTATCATCTCAATATTTTGAACGAGAACAAACAGTATTGTTGACAACTCTGGTCTTTTTGTCAAACATTGAATAATGAGTTGAAATAATCAAAATACATTTTTAAACGTGATATGACATATGTATCCACTGTACCTTCTTGTTCAGACCATAGATATATTCTTTTCAATATTGAAACAGGTCTAAGACCAGTAGTGGAATATCGTGACTCAAAATCTACTGACTGGAGGGGGTATAAAAACTCCCTCCAATCGTACTTTGAGGACGGAATCAGTTCTATTCACAGTTGTAATGATATGGATACAGTAGCGACGCAATATCGCGAAGCAGTGATCTCATCCTATCATGAGAACTGTCTACTGAGGGTCAAAAGAGATAACCGCAACTCTTCTTGGTGGAACAAAAGCCTTGAAAATAAAAGAAAAGAAGTTCGATGACTATTCAATCGAGCTAAAGAGTCAGGTAACTGGGAGCTTTATAAAACCACTCTAACGTCATACAACAAGGAAATTAGAAAGGCAAAACGGAAGTCTTTTTTTTATTTATTTATTTACAATCTCATCGACCTCTAGGGTCATTAGCGACTTGTCGATATATTACATGGAAAAACAAAATTTAGAGAGTATGTAACAAATTGGTATTTCTAAGGAAAGCTAATAGATTATTAATATCACATTCATCTCCTAATATGTCCTTTATTGATGGTGGGAAGCCATAAGTTTGTCTTTCATTGTGATATAGCACGCACTCGGTGAGAATATGTTTAAGACTTTGAGGACTATCACACACTTCACATACTGGGGGATTTTCTTCAGATAGTAGGTATCCATGGGTGAGAAGAGTGTGGCCTAGACGAAGACGAGATAAAATGACCTGGGCTTTTCTTTCATTGGGGTTGTTTTTCCAAGGAGATACTGACTGTTTTATCTCATGAAGTTTTGCTGACGAACTATTCGATTGTGATTGTCAACTATTGATGATCGTTTGCTTGTATAGAGATTTCAGATCCGTGTGAACAGCAAGTAACACTGTATCTGTAAGCGGGTTAGTAACTGCTTCTTTCGCTAGTTTGTCAGCTCTTTCATTTCCAACTATGCCCATATGTGAAGGGACCCACATAAACCGGATGCAAATATGTTTTTGATGTAGTAGGTGGAGAGACTGTTTTATGCGAAGCAAGATGGGATGATTGGTGTATAGTTGTGCAATTGTTTCGAGAGCGTTCAGTGAATCTGTGACAATCAGAAATTTTGGGATGTTCTTTTCCTCCATGTACTTTAGTGCTCTCCAAATAGCGTATAATTCACCTGTGAGTATTGTGTTTTCTTTCGATAATTTAAATGAACAGCTGAAATCAGAGCTGGTGAAAGCTGCCCCTACTCCATCTTCCATTTTAGGTGCATCAGTGTATACTAGAAAGAAGTCTTCGTATTGCTCCAGAAGATGGTTGAATGCTACATTGAACATCCTGTGATTTGTATTCTTTTTCTCAAATTGTAGCAGTCCATATTCAATGTTGGCTCGGGGGATTATCCGGAGTCTTGGAGGAAGTTCTGTGAGAGTATCTCTGATTTACCTCGCAGCGCAACAATTCACAAGATTCTCTCTAGAGAGCCGACTGCTGAAATTGGGTCGCTTAAACGACCCGATGGAACATTTATGACCTCTAGTAAAGAAACGTTAGAGCTTTTGATAGAAAACCACTTTCCTGGAAATCTGACCTCTTCAAGGGCGCTAAACGCCAAAAAAAGAATGACTGGGATGTCGCAAAAAAGGTTATCACAGCACCGGCAGTTGAATGGGCTATCAAGTCTCTTCAGGCCTTCAAATCTCCCGGAGAGGATGGTATATTTCCAGCTCTTCTTCAAAACGGACTGGAAATAATTTTACCTATTCTCACAAAATTGTATAGAGCTAGTCTGGCGTGGAACTATATACCACCCAGTTGGTTGGCAGCAAGGGTGGTATATATACCTAAAGTAGGCCGGAGAGACCCACACCTCAAATCGGTACGACCAATCAGCCTTACATCCTTCCTGCTGAAAGGACTTGAGAGGATACTGGACGGACATATCAGGACGGTAGCATTATATGCATCCCCACAAATCAGTTCAATGCAGAGTGCAACAGACTGTTGGTTGACATTGGAAAACACAGTATTCTGGAAATAACCTCTGACTTTATGCCTCCAACTGTCAACTACGAACTGCCTTATAAAGTACTATTCCCGAGTAGAGAGGACTGGATCCTGCGGGAAAAAGAAATATTAAGAGCAGATAGTTGTTGGTTCACAGATGGATCAAAAACACCTTCCGGATCTGTTGCCGGTGTTTTCAGTCGCAGACCCAGAACAGAGTTATCTACCTGCTTAGGAACTTATGCGACTGTATTTCAAGCGGAAATTTACGCTATTGAATTGTGTGCGGAGAGATTGGATAAATCCAACCCCACTAACAAATCAATAAAAATATTCTATAAATAGATTCCTGGCCATACTGGCCTGGAAGGCAAAGAAGCTGCTGACTCTCTTGCAAAGGAGGGTGCTGCAAGCGGCTTCATTGGACCAGAACCTGTCATTGGCATCACTTTGGGCTTTGCCAAACAAACACTTAACACCTGGATGGCAAGGAGAGTTATGGACTTCTGGCAGAATCTTTCAGGTTTGGCTCACTCCAAGGCGTTTATTCACCCTTCGAAGCTTGATACCAAACAGTTATTGGACTACAGTGGAATTGGACTACAGTCTAACAACAGAACACTGTCATTTGAATCATCATATACAGACTCTCGGACTGTCGGAAGACAGTATGTGTTGCCTCTGTTTGGAAAATGATGAAAAAGCAGAGCACATACTTTGTGCCTGCCTCGCTGGGGATCAAATCAGGTTTTTAGAGTTCGGCAGAGCCGTACTCTTACCATCTGACCTGAAAGACCACTCACCATACAAACTAATCGGCTTCGTTAAGAAGCTGGGTTTATTTAGTCGAGTGTGAATAGGTATGAGCCCACAATAAACCCTTGCGGGTTGCGGTGTAGGGTCGAATAGACGCACTCACTTTGACTGTGTCAAATGCTCATGCATTGAAAATGTCCACAAAAGTTCGCATAAATAACATACGTGAAATGAAAGCTTTTTGCGAATTGAATATCGATTCTATGGAACTCCGACTCGGTTTTTGTGAATTTGATACGATCGTTACATTGTGTGCAAGTTGATTACAATAGACTCAGTTCCATTCAGCTAAAAATAAAAGAAATGGTAGTTTCCGCGTAAAAGCTACTCATTGGTATATAATTCACTGGTATATTAGTGGCACGTTGCGGATGTCATTTAATGTAAATTTGTGCAATTTTCTCCATGCGGAAATTTACGGGTCTCCCATTCAGAAAGAAATAGTTTATGACCTATTTTACTTAATATTACATATTACATTCCGTAACACGTTATTTATAATTTGATAGCATTACTTAATTGGAATTTAGGGTTAACGAACTTTTTCGAGCCATAATCAATGGAGACACAATTTGAACATGCATTTTCTCGTTGTTGTCAGGATAATTTCGATCTCAAACACTTCCAAAACTCTCAGAGGAATGTGCCTGTGCATATGTGTAATTTTGGGCGAAATCATGAAAAGTCACCAAAAGAAAACGTGCTGATACCTATAATTACTAGAGATTTGAAGAAAACCTCATTAGAAATAATTAGGAACGAAAGTTATTAATGTTGTTTCAATGTACAATATGTCATAAACTATTAATCGAAAGTCATTTTTTAAGGAAATAGAGTTTTTTATCGTCCTTCCACAATCTGGAAGATACAAATATTGCAATAGGAAACTTTATATATGCTTAGAAATGGCGTAGTTCTCCACTATGCGTTCACTACTGCGTGAATTCAAAGTATTTTTCACAAATAAATCTATTCATCAATAACTTGGTGTATTTGATTAAATATTATTCACTTGTAGATATAGAAAAGGAACTTTTATGTCACACAGATCTGAAAGAGATGCAAATTTTGTAGCAAATAATCAACTTTTTGTTCAAAGACAATATGAATAAGAGCGCTACAATAACAATTATTGATACTTTTGTTATATTCTTCTAGACCACTACAAAGTCAACTAGGAGTTCTCAAACAAGCAAGCCCATTCAGGACTGAATCCAAAGAATGTCAGTTCTTTTTATATACTTTTCAATATCAATAATGATAATGATCGTAATAATAATACGTATTTAGTCACCATGAGAATTACAGACAAAAATAAGAGAAAGACAAAAATAAAAATACAACTTTCAGTATAAAAGTGAATTAGCGGAGTATCAGCCAAGGATGTTTCTTAACTCAACCTGGGAATAGCAATGATTGAATAACAATAACGAAAAAAAAGTCGAGTTAACAATGTATCATCATATCATTGTGATGACAAGATCAGGAAATTAGTTAATGCAACCGCTGTAGAAATTCCATTTTAGTATTGCCAAGGTCTGTATTATATTGCAGGTTGACGAGATTTCAAAACTTCATGTGTGTTGGTGGGTAGACGCAGTGTTATTAGTTCTTTAACTTTCTACCATCCAGATTCTTGCTCGGCTGAGAATATATCGTCAGGTCTGCTAGATCTGTCTGATTAGATCCAAATGTCAACTGAATGAATAGTCAATTTCGTCTTTCACTTTACCAAAGCATCTTTTCTGTTTCACAAGTCACAATGGTAACCTGAAATCGCAGCCATAGTTAAAATTGAGTCCAGAAATGTCACTGGCTGATTGCACAATTGACCTTGCATTGATCTGATTTATGATTACAAAAGTTATTACCAAAGAAAGCATAGAACGTAATAGTCGAACTTCAAGACCATGAAGATTTTTCTTCACAAAGACGAGAACTTCAACATAATCAGAAAATTAGTGGTTTTGGGTACAGGTTCAGGGCAATTTTCATCAGAATAATTTTTTTTCTGGACTTTCGTCGTGTATCAACTAAGAGAATCCAAAAATCTTGAAACTAATACATTTATTGAGTTCCTAAAAGCCGGTGGTATATTATACTAAATTTCATTTCTAACTCAGTTTCTAGCAAAAAACAATATTGTGGCATTTACTACAGTGATTCTAGGTAATACTTGAAGAAATGGTAGACGCGTTCAAAACATCACAATCTCTTTCTTTATTGTGTAATTGGTACCCAAAGTACATAGATGATTCATTCATATATTTCATAGCGACACTAAGAAAGCGAAATATTTCAATTTCGAGCCCAACTCCTTTTTCATAATCATCCACCGAACTGCAATCATTATGAAACTTTCCACAATAATTACAGTTATGGATATTACAAGTTTTCAATTTATTTCAGGTTTTCGATATCCTGTGGTCGGATCCCCAAGAAAACAAGGGTTGTGTTCCAAACAGTTTACGTGGAGCAGGTACTTATTTCGGTCCAGATGTCACAAAAAAGTTTCTGGAACAGAACAAGTTACTTTACATCATCAGATCACATGAGTGCAAACCTGATGGATATGAACTTTGCCACAATAATTCTGTGAGTAGTTAATAATAACTGATATTCCTACATCTTCAATTCTGTCAGGATGGAGCCTCGCTCCATTTCTATTAGGGCCTCATTCCACAGAGTGTCGGGGCTTTCTAAATCGGGAGGGGTATTGACGAGTTTCCGCACAATCGAAAACTCGCCGATTCCCCGACTGAATGGACTGCTGAATGGAAGGCAGCTGCAAATCTCTCTGGATTGCTTCATTCCGCACGAACCACAGAGCATTCACAAGCAGCCGTATTAACTCATTTTGTAGTTTCTCCATAATGGGGATGTTACTTGTCCCCAGACGCCTGAAGCGTGTTGCAGATGGTAATTTTATTTTTCAGACCCATTTTGGATTTCCTATTGATCAGAGGGTACAGACATCTGATCCGACCCTCGATCTTTGCCTTTACGGTTATGATGTGCGGGTTCCAGGTGAGCCTACGGTCTATTAGAAGACCGAGGTACTTTACCCGCGCTTGTCGCGCCTGAGTCTTAGCCGTGTTCACTCAGGTCTTCCATTCGAGGTACCAGCGCTTGAGGTCGCCCATTGCACGTTGCATGTAGATGACCTTGAGCTCCCGAACCATGAACGATGAGAGGAAAGCCGTATCATCGGCGCATAAATGCACTCTCACACGCTCGAATCTCGGAAGATCGATGTTGTAGAGCGAGTATAGCGTGGGAGAGAAGCACAGTTCCCTGTGGCACTCCAGCGAGGATGTCACTGTTGTCAGTCAGGAAGCCCTCTACTCTAACCTGAAATGTTCTGCTTTTCAGGAAAGACCCAATCCATCGGATCAGGCTCCGAGGCAGGTCGAACGCGTGTAATTTTTGAAGAAGGCCTTCGTGCCATACACGGTCCAAGGCCTTCGAAATGTCTGGTAGGACAACGTGAACTTTGCGATTATTGTTTAGCTCCTCGATGGTGTTTTCGACCAGTCTCAGAGCCTGCAACTCATCGGAGTGTTCTCTCCTAAATCCGAATTGTTAGTTAGGCAGAACATTTCGGTCCTCAACTTCTTTGTTGAGCCTTTGCAGAACGACTCTTTCAGTCAGCTTAGCCGCCGACGAAAGCAGAGTGATCGGGCGGTAGTCCTGTGGAAACAGCAGGTTCTGAGCCTGTTTTGGGATCATGACAACGATCGCATGCTTCCACCTTCTGGGGAAGTATCTGAGGGCCAATGAGCTATTGATGATGCCCAGTAGCCTTTCGATTCAGTTGTCCGGGAGCCTCTTCAACAACCTATTGGTTGTTGAGTTGTATCTTTGGGTTTTTTTGGCCTTTGCGGCCCTGATATAACCCTTCAGCTACGTTTTTCCAAATGGATATTCGATAGCGATTCACATTGGATAAAATCTAATGTGAATCGATACTTTCGCACAGGCACCGCTTTGAGATCGCCTTAAGTAAGCATCTTCAAGAGGAAAATTAATATTGAGAGGAATTTTTATATTCCTCGTTTGATTCAATTCAGCGTTGAGCGTTAAGAAGGAGGGAGTTACAAATTATTAGGTTGTTCCAAAAGTTTTGTCCGTTTTAATGTCATGTGTTTTTGTAGCTCCATATATCAATAAACATTTATTCTACCTTCGAAAAAAAAAACGATGAAAACATTTCAAAGCTGATAAAATGAAAGCTACTACCACAGTATACTATATACAGTATTCCCACTTATTGTGATTTTTTGGTTTAAATTTTCTACACGCAGACCCAAGAGTTGCAGTCTCAGGTCTGCCCAAACGACGAGTTCAAGACAGGCATGCAACCCTTTCATAGTTGTCGATTTTTTCTTGGGTTTCACTAAACCTACTAAAAAATTTGTTTGTTGAACACTACACAATTACTTTTTTACTTCTTCAAGTCCTAAGTATCACTACATATTCAAAAAGAATAGGCTCTACACATTCTTGAATCTTGAGTGATGAATTCGATTAGGAATATTTTTAAAATTTGGCCCTTGATATAATCGAATCGGCAAACTCGTCCGCCATCTTGAATTCTCAAATCAATGAATTATTATGCTATAGTTGGGCCCAAAAATCACTACAAAGAAATTTCGCATGAATTCGTACCATGGTTCATGAATAACAAAACTCATTCTTCAACTTGTCTTTTTTCTTGTTGAAATGAAAATATATTTTGTCACATCCGAATATGAACATCTGCCGATCCCATGAATGTTTAAAATCTACTTGAAATATAGTTCATCATTGTCCAAATGATCTGGGTTACTTGAATATCACACAAATGCAAAATTATCATTTGTACAATTTTCTCAGGTTCCCAACATGGTTTTCATCGACTGTATTTTTTTGAGCAGTTTATATGAATAGTTGTTATGTTGAGCAGTGTTTAGACGCTTTGGTTGAGATTGTAGTAGGGAGTAATGTCATTAGTGTCAAATACGTCAGCATTGTAAAAACTGAAACTCCTGGACACCAACATCAAAGGGACTGACGCTAATTGGGACTACTATATATAAGTATACTGTGCTACTACTTGACATTTTTCTCTCTACTATTTGTGAATATTTTTGTTGATCGAGGAATTATTTGGACAACTTTTTTTTCTAAAGACCTGAATCTTAACAAAAACTTTGGAAGGAGAACTAGCTTAGAGATATTTTTTGCTGCATACTCCATATGATGTCATTATTGTGAACTTTATTTTTCGACTTCATCATTTTGTCATTAACTTTGAATCGGAAAAAGGCAATTGTCGTACTTGGAATAGCCTTTTTCTTCCTTCAAAACAGATTTATATCTTCATTGTGAATACTGTCTGCGGGATATTCAATTTTGTGAAAAAATAGGTGACTGATGACAGCTATTAGAGCTAGGCAAATCTAACTATGACTCTAAGATGCGTGAACGATAAAGAGATATGATAATTGTCCACTACCAACTTTTATCAGCGGGTACAATCGGGGAAACATTTTTGGCTTGAATACATTTATCAATTGTTGACAACTACACATATACCAGTTGGGAACGGGTACCCTAATTCTTCCTTTTGTGCAGGTGGAAAATAATGGAAAGATAATGAGTCATGAAATTACAAATAATGGATTTGTACATTATCATAAGAGATGAATGAATTGAGAGAAATGGATGAATTCACAACCGATAATTCATAGATAATTGAATGTTACAGTTACAGACCAATGAGAACTTAAGGTGGAATTGCCTAGTGGCCGAAGGTTTTACAGAAAACGGCACAAGCGAAGCTCTCTGGCTTACAGAGACAGAATTGTCTGGCTGTCAGTGGTGCCATCGGTACCACACCATCAACGGTCATGGAGATATTTCTAGATCTACCTCCTCTCCACATTTTCCTGAAGAGAGAGAGAGGCTAGATGGACTGCATATAGACTTGTGCACATTACCAATTGCACAAATCAATTCAATTACAGAGTGCAACAGACTGTTGTTTGACACTGGAAGTCACAGTAGGGTCTGGAAATGACCTCTGACTTCATGCCTTCAACTATCAACTACGAATTGTCTTATAAAGTACTGTTCCCGAGTGGAGAGGACTGGATCCTCCGGGAGAAGGAAATTTTGAGAGCAGATTCTGGTGCAGCTGTTTTCAGTCGCAGATCCAGGATAGAGATATCAACCTGCCTAGTAACCTATGCGACTGTATTTCGAGCAGAAATTTACGCTATTGAATTGTATGCGGAGAGATTGGAAAAATCCAACCTCATACATAAGTCAATAATTATATTCTCGGAAAGTCAAACGGCGTTGAAAGCGCTTGGCTCTTATCGAGCAACGTATAACTTGCCAAAAACGACTCTCCTCCATAGAAAGACTTAACAGATCGCTTCTGGTCTGGATTTCTGGCCATACTGGCCTGGACCTGCAAGCAGCTTCATCGGACGAGAACCTGTCATTGACATCGCTCCTGGTTTTGCCAAACAAAGATTGAACACCTGGATGGCAAGAAGATTTATGGACTTCTGGCAGAATCTTCCAGGATTGGCATACTCTAAAGGCGTTTACTCACCCTTCAAAGCTTGATACCAAACAGTTGTTGGACTACAGTAGGGATGAACTACGATATCTAACAGGCCTTCTTACAGGTCATTGTCATCTGAATCATGATATATAGAGACTCGGACCACTCACCATACAAACTAATCGGCTTCGTTAAGAAGCTGGGTTCGTTTGGTCGAGTGTGAATAGGTGTGAACCACAATAAACTCTTGCGGGTTGCGGTGGAGGATTGAATAGACCCACTCACGTTGGACCTAACCTAACCTACTAGAAATGATTAGGTAGCAGGTAAATAATATTCAAAACATTGCTTGTTATATTGACCAATTTCGGCATACCACTATTTACATAGATACAGTTTCTATAAAATTTTCCATATAAATAATAGGTCGGCATTCTTCTCTATAATTTCGCATTTTCTTGAAGAAGTCTAATCCTAAGTAGTCCTTTCATGTTTCACCTCTCTGCATAGAAATCCAAGTTCATTCATTGCTTTCCGCAAAGACTCTCAATGACCCTGATAGTCAATATCTCGGATGATAGTTGTATTAATTTGCCTAAGCATCAGAACTCTTTCCTCTTTGATATGGAAATTAATTATGCATCGGCGTAAAATTGCCAAATCAGCATTATTCATCAGAATTCTGTAATGTTTGATACACCTCTTTTCATTTGGACCTGGAAGTGGTTTTCTCACCAATTTATTATATTTGATTTGATTTTTCGTATAGTTCGCACGCAAACCCCTCAGCTACTCGTTCTAGAACCTTCAAAGTTGAAATACAACATTTGTTATAATTTTACTTAAGATAATCTGTTTTCTCTCACGCTTGCATAAATCTCAATAAGTTCTTCACAATTTCTTTGCTTTGTCCACTGAGAGGCACTTCCAAAGAAAACAAATAACCCGCAAATTATCACACAGAATAATTCCTCTACTTGCTGTACTAACACGATGTTCACTACACGAGTTCCTCGATGTGAATGAGCTCTCGCCGCCGGCATCCAATATTCGGAGGCACACCCAAATTTGCCAAGCTGAACTCGATTTTGGAATAGAAACGAACGAATTAATTTGTCAAACATTGCATTCAACTTCACTCGGCTATTCTTTCGATGAGATAATGTTTCTAGTAAAAGAGTTGTTCATAATTTTTTTTAAATGTAGTAATCAAATTTGCCGAACTAATTCAAGGGATAATAGATATCGGATGGATTCCATCCGACCCTAACTTGCTAATGAAATTTCAGACGATTTGTTGCGAAATACAACTTCACGAACTGTACAATGTTTGCATTATTACTGAACTACATGCCTTGAATTCGGTATTCAAAATTTCCACTTTCCTCCTCAACAGAATATGTAGGGTAACATAATCTCTTTATCCTGACTCTTGATCCTTCAGCCAAACAATCCATGGGCTTAATAGCCATGTAGCTGAAACTGATTGTAATTTCTCAATCTCGGGATAATGAGAATGAAATTATGGCGCAGCGAGCTTATAACACACGAGACATGCGATTTCCATATAAAAATTGACGTCAGTTGAGGATTGTGTTTATTCAACAACCTAATTAAATTATCAAATATAAGTACGGCACCTTTATTCCTGGATTTGTATACGTCATATGGGACGACGACAACAGATTATATCTCAGAGTGTAATTTGATAGACACTGACAAATTACTCTGAGCTCTACAGTACTTCAAAGTCGTAATTTTTCATAAAGGAAATGATTAGGTTACTAGAAATTTGAACCGGCTTTGGGTTATGAAGTTTTCACCAATAGAGCTTGAATTATTTCTGGATTTTTGGAGTGAGAGGATAAACCGCTTCCCTACCCAACACGTAACGGCGCCAGTTTGTCTGGCTTCCCTTTCTCTCACGCATACGTCAGCGGAAGGTAGGCTCCCCCTCTCTCATCGGACAGACGATCAGTGTTTAGTTTGCGTTAGGCATATACTGTTAACAGTACTATAAAAATCTAACCAGCAAAACAGGCACCCAAAAAATAATGAATAGATAATAGATGGAATAACAACCCTTTGCTGAAATGTTCATCTTAAAACGATGTCCCTTTCATTAAAGAGTATATGGAAGTAGCTCCTGCCTGTGAGGATGTAAAGTTTCGGGTATGGATCTCAAATTGGACCCTCTTGATACAAAAATTGACGTATTCTTTTTAATTTCAAATACACGTGTTCATTTCCCCAGTTTCCAGAGGGTACAATTTTCATTGGGGTACATGTGCAAATAAAACGAGAACCTGAAAACGTATTTATTTGCATGTACAAATGACTTTTGCAGGTAATAACAATTTTTTCTGCATCAAATTACTATGAAGTTGGGTCAAATAACGGTGCATACATGAAGCTAGTCGGTCCAGAACTCGACACACACTACGTACGATACATGGCTAATTCCGGCAAGAGAAAATTGACTTTTTATCAAAGAATGGGATTAGTTGAATCTGGAGCTGCCAGAGAACTGAAAATGCAAATCATGAATAATAAAACGAAGCTAGAAGAAGCTTTTGCAAAAGCTGACCCTGAAGATACAGGTGAGTTATTTTAGTTTACAACATTACCTTATATTGTCTCATATGTTCACGTAAAGTTGGATCTTCAGAACGAAAAACATTATTTTGGGATTGGAGCTGACACCAAAGTGCCAGAATTCGCGGCTTCAATACTTTGGTTTATTTTTGTTGGAGTACTATTGCTGATTCTCAAGGCCTACTGATTTATGCTATATCTTTTGAAATGTTTTGAAATATGAAAAAGAAGGTCCTATATAATGTATAAATCACTATGCTATGTGTCAGAATTATCATTTTCCAATTCCAACGAAAATCTAGTTTGATGTAGAATTCACGAGGGAAGTGTATCTACACTCACAACAGCCGATGTAATTAGTGAATGAAAATATTAGACAGGAATTTAAAGTAATCATCAAATATGTCAGAAAAAGTTCTCATTATAATATTATTCCTTAACCATAGTTCCATATCCCACAAAAGTTGCGATTTAATGACGCCAATAGTCGAATATATATCCAGAATGATTAGATATGAATCAAATCAACTTTTTCAGTATCATCTTTCACAAGAATCTACATTTGTACCATCAAATTTCATAAATCCTGGTATACAAAAACGACCACCTTGAAATGTTATAAAAGTTATGATCTTGAATATTTTTCTTTATTTTCAAACCGATTTTGAAAATTTTGTTAATAAATGAAAAAAAATTTGTCCCAGATCAATCGAATAGATTTCCTAATGAGACTCAATTTCTAAACAGTATACGAGGGAAAATGAAGTTTTGATTATAATATCTATTTTTTGTGTCATGTTTAAAGTCGCATTAATCCATTGGAGTAGTAGTGACTACGGTAATATAGTATACATTCAATTTTTTATGAGATTGATATAAGTCGAGTAAGCGAATTAGTTAGTTTCATGAAAGTTATTTAAATTGTCTAGTAGAACTTCTGGATGTTACTCAAAACCATCGAGAATAAGTTAATTCTCCAAATGATGTATTTTTCTTGATTTTGATACCACGGTTCGTTTTAAATCTATGAATTATTGAATATAGCATTGAGTGTTTTTTGTTCTTCACAATTGATACCACGATTTGTTTTGAATTTATGAATTATTGAATGTAGCATTGCGTGTTTTTTGTTCTTCACAATAATTATGGAAAAATTGACATCTAAACGATAGCAAACTGTTAAAAACGGTAATAATGAACCAATTTTTCAATGTCGGATGTTGTCCCCTTTATCTTTGACAATACAAAATAGCTTCCATTCTCCAAGGCATTCCAACAATTAGCGTTCGGGTATACTACTCTATGAGCGTAACACAAAGTTCATTTTTGTTGATAGCTAGCCTGTCACGACTTCTCAGGCGTCTATCTAGATTATACCAGGCATGCTCAATAGATGATTGTAAATGACGAATCCGTGAAAAACTGCAATATTTCAGTCAATAATTTATGAATTTGGATCTAATTTTGATATCAACATAATCACATGAAGTGGTCAATTTTATACACCTGAGTGTATTCTCGTATCAGTTATCCTTCTATCAAGATTCATTTGACTAATTCGAAATAAACAATTGATTTTTTTCAGGTTACATATCAATAACCCAGTGGTGCGTAGCTTTACAAGAGGCTACAGGATTGCAACTTCCTTGGAGAATGCTCAAAGACAAATTAGTTACTATAGACCCGGACACAAATCTAGTCAAATATCAAACAACATTCGATGTTAAGAGTGAAAAATTGAATGTGAGTACATGTTATCCCAATAACGGACAACAGAAACAAATGAGTTATTTCCCTGATGATAATGACGATAGTCTCCTCATTTTCTATTCGAACGTTCGAAAAACTCCGAAGCAGTTTGAATTGTTGAGAATGCAGTGGATTGTATTTTCATGCCAAACCTCAGCAAACATTCTGTTTATTTATTCGTGAAGTCTTACAAAAGAAACCTCCTCTGATTTCACAGTTCAGAAAAAAAACCTCTAAGATCATATCAGAACTGTGATCTCAGGAAGTTTCTACCGATGGAGTAAAATTTAAAACATTCCTAACAAATACGAGCTGGAGGTTCAATAGGTTGTGGGTATTCAGCAGTTTTCTTCAGTCTATTTCTTTCTGGAACCTAAAACCATTTTTCTCGCGCCGGACATTTTTTTTCAATCTGGCATACATTCAATACCAATAGTGTGCTGTCTCGGGGACTACATGAAAGTATAAATTTGATAGATGAGAGTCACAGTCGAAACAATTGTGTTGGCCTCAGAAGCATAATTTTGTGGTTGTGATACTCTTCACTGTTACCGTTGGTGAATTTGCTGATCCTGCTGATCCACATAGCTTCGTCAACGAAAATGCCCCATTCCAGATTCTGATCGAAGGTAGCGACAAACTTCTCATTTTTTCACAACATTCCGTGTGGTATTATCTGTACCTCAAATCATTTTTCTTTCCTAAATATCTGTTATGAGTCACAGTTGCTTTTAATTGTCTGATCATCGTTCTACCACCATATTTCCTTTGACTTCTGATTCGAAAACATCGTTGGTAGGTTAGCTCATTAGACCTGTGGTCTGCGTGCTAGATTTCTCCCATTTGGTTGCACCTGGAATACCATCCCGGTTGTATACCTTTTGCTAAAAAACATTTAGTTGTTTGAAGGATAGCCCTGTCCATTCTTCATACATGATTATTACTATTTGAACCTCCAAACGATCTGGAGATTGCACCTGCAACATTAACCACAACCACGACTCCTGGGATAAATCATCGTTTGATCTAAAGATCGTTTGCCCTAAGTAAATGTATAGAATCGAGAATGATTTCCTTTATGGATTATAGGATGGTAATCCTTTGCTGAAACACACCTATAATCATACAATTTTGTTTCAGTATATATCCCCATATGAATTCATATTCGTGACCATTTCAAAATGAAGCACATTCTGGAATTGATCTCATTTGTTTCTGTACCGTTCTTTCAAATCACAAAACTACAAAATAATAAATTTAACACGTTTCAGTCTGTGCAAGGTGCCCATTCCGTTGTTGAAACTCTATACAGAAATAAAACCAGTCTAGAAGCAATATTTCGTATCATAGATAAGGATAATTCAGGTGAGTTTTTTTTGGGGTATTTTTGGTGAGCTTAATTGTTTGTGTGAGTTTATGACTTCAGCGTTCTAGTTGTGACTAATTTTAAAGATGTAAAATTGAACAAGTAGTAGTTTTCCTCTGGTGGAATCAATCTGAATAGAATAATTTTCCCACACCAGAACTGAAAGTAGTGTCTGTCGATGCGCATTTCACTGACCAAGTTAGGATATCCAGAAGATGACTAGGACCCAACCCAAAAAAATATTTGATATTCAGGAAGGAAGATTCCTTTTTCTTCAACAGTGTCATCAGATCTCTGAATGTTTTCGTTTTTTAGCAGACTTTGTAAGCGATGAAGCAGTACATTTTCATCTTGATGACTTGTGAATCTGTTTAAAAAAAAATCTGTTTGAAATCTGTTTTTCCGTTATTCAGCTGCCGCCCCCATACGAACGACAACTCTCAGAAGTTGAGAAACTTGTGCGAGCTAAGGACTAACGAGGTCTTACCTTTTAATGTGTGATTCCTAACACGGTTGCAGAATCATTCCAGCTTCAACCAGATAAATCCTCTCGAGAACAATATCTGGTCGAGGCGGGAATCGAACACACGACCTTCCGATCGTGAGTCGGACGCACTACCACCGCGGCCAATTCCACAACAACAATCGACAACATTGTTGCATTTGGAGTTCAAAAAACCCATATGTGACTGACGAAAAACAAATGCATAGACAATTTAACACTGTTTGGTGTGGATTTTGGGCTGGAGGCCCATTGGACCATACCTTTTTGATAATAATATGACTAATCAAGCAGTGACTGTGACTAGTGCTCGATATCACGACACGGTAACAGTTATTTGTGCCGAAATCAAATGATTTTGATGTCATTATTATGTGGTTTCAATAAGATGGTATCACATGTCATATAGCACATGAAACAATTTGAATACTGCATGAGACATTTCCAGGTTATTCTCTTTCTCTCTCTTCACCTTCAATTTTTTTCATGGGGTTATTCGAAGTCAAGAAACCCAAGTCTACATCCATCTGTAAATTGAAAGAGGAAATTCAACACTGCTTCAACGAAATTCGACCCTCTTCATGCAAAATGGCCTTTGAAAATTTCGACAAAAAATTGTGTATGTGCTAGCGAAGTCGTGGAGTTAATTTGATCAATCTGTTATTCCATGAATTCCATTTCAACAAAAACTATGTTTTATATTTGAATCAAATCTTGCATAACTCGTAATTCTGGGACATCCTTCATGTCTACGCTTGTGAAAAATATATCTTCCCTCTCTAGAGAAGTAATGTTTTAGTTGAACATATACTTAAATCTGGTATGAAACATACTCATAATATATTTCGATGGTATGAGTACACAGTAAAATAGTTAAGCTTTTTCTGTTGCTATTTCATGAAATAATAACTATCATAACCAATATTTCGTTCATAACGGAAAGAGATCGACTCACAACATTTTCAATGTTCAATTATAATCTTCATTCAGGTTATTCAAATATATATTTGAATTTTTGCAGGTTATATAAGCCTCGATGAGTTCTCTGATGCTTGTAATCTAATAAAGGAACACATGCCTTGTCCGATGACTGCGGAACAGTTAGAAGAAATATGCAAACTGATGGACTTGAACAAGGACGGTTTGGTAGATCTGAACGAATTTCTCGAATCGTTCAGGATGGTGGACCCAGAAAGCAAGCAGAAGAACCAACCAGGTTCACCAGAACCATCCCAAGCGAATAACACGAGCCAAAATCACAATAATCTTCAACCAAGTGAAAATCAAGAGCCTCTACAGTGCCCTCTATTAACTCCGCCCCAAAAGCTCACTTTGAAACCTTTGTCAGAAAATGCCTCCGCAAATGGGATGCCAAAAATCAAAGACAAAATCCAAGAGAAAGAAAGCAACATCAAAGTGCAAATACACAGTCCACCCAAAGATGAACCCGACATCAACGACCAGATACCGGTGACACATAATAATTTGCAAATGTCTCCAGTATTGAGTAGCAGAAGAGGTTCTCAAATCTGAGGAGGATGTTCATATCAGAATCTGAGGGAACAAAATAATTTGGTTCAGTTCTCAAATACTTGAAGGGAATACCACACTACGGTGGTACCAACGAGTGTAGAATTCTCTTCAAAGGTTTTATGTGTCAAGTAATGGGGTCATTATTATAATTCAGTGCGGAAATCGGTGAAAGGAATTATATTTCGAAACATATGTCTGAAAACTTAGTATGGAGATGATGTCTAGCTGACGGTGTTTTCAGGGGTTGTTTTCAGATCTAATACCGTTTACAACAATATGGAAAATTGTGAATCAGTCCGTTTTTTCTCTAAAACTGATATATAAAAAGGTTTTAGGGCTGGAGAAACTATTTATTGTACGTTTATGATTCAGGGAACTGTTTGTGAGAAAATTACACAGGTGAAGTACAGTTCAGTAACTGAATAGGATGGTAACGATATTTCTATATTTCTCCTGTATTTCAATAGAAACGTTGAACAAAACAGTAATGCGAAACTATACTATGATTCTTCTTAGATCGAGAAGATATGTATTACCATAGCCTGGTGAGAACAAGAGGATAATGGCCATATTAGTCGATGCCGTTAACACCATTGCCGTTGACATCTGTCAATTACTATATATCATTTGATGATATATTGATAATGTCAAAAACTAGATTTTTACGTGGTGGTAGCTTGTCCCGAAACCGAATGGGAATGAACAAAAAACTCACCAGTCTAATTAATGGTGAAACTAGGATATGGTGAAATCTGATGTGAGCTGAGTGTTCTTTGAAAAGAGTTTCAATGGCCCACTTAGTCTGACCGATATATTTGTTGGATATATTTCTTATATCCCCCAGTTTTCATTTTCCAACAACTTGTCTTCAGGGTTACCAAACATTTGTTGAGTCAAAATAAGCAAGAAGTATTGAAGGTTACTTTCAACTCTTCATTAGAATAAGGTCAAATATTATTACAGCTGAATGAAGGACATTATATCGGATAAATTGAAATGACTTTAATGAACACCAATATATGGTCTGGTTAATACTAGAAAGTCATGATTCTCTGAATATCGATTTAAATGACAACTTGAACTTTCGAAAGGTTTAAATATACTTCAGAGTTCGTCTGAGAAATGAACAAAGCAAAATCGATAAAGAATCTGCTGAAGTGGAATAAAGGGAAAACTGTAAAGTTCACTTCGAAAAGTTACTGAACCACCGAAGAGTCCAGTTAGTCGGGGGATTGGCTGTCCTTGTTCATCTTTCATGGCCTGAATCACTGTGCATGCTGTTTTTGGCGAGTGCATTGGCTTGGGATGTGAGGGTTGAGCAAACCGGCCATCGGATGCCTGCTTCCATGTAGCCTCGCTGGATACAAGAATGAATGAATCATTTGTGGTTAGGTTATTCCCTAACTAAATGGCATCCCAACGATGGCTTCATCCTAAAGTGTGTGTATTCATATCGAGAGGATGAATGACACTGACACTGTCACTACGGAACCTTCGAGATACCGGGCGCCTTCTCGTCGTAGCATCGCCTTGTCACGGTAATGCGGGGCTCTGCCATGATTGCCTTCTTTCCCTAGCTACTCGTGGGACTTTTATGGACAGAGCAAACTTAAAAATTCTTTCTGTCGCTGAGTCTACAGAGGAGATGGATGTCGAGCTTACGACTCCAACTGACCTCCCTGTAAACTTAGATCAGAAGCGAATCTACAGAGGAGATGGATGTCGAGCTTACGACTCCAACTGACCTCCCTGTAAATTTAGATCAGGAGCAAGAGATTCTCAACTCTCCAACTCCTAATCCAATAACTGAACCTGAGAAAAAGGTTTGACGACTGAGTCGTCTCCTCAAGAGTGGGGTACCTTATGAAACCGCCTTGCACCAAATTCTTTAGCGGCGAACGCAGAATCTGTCTCAGGTGGAGGAACAAACCCCCCATGAACAGGCTAGCAAACGTTTGCGCTCAAGACATGATTCACCAAAACCAGAGGCGAAAAAGCACTGCACGACAGTGCTTTTTCGCCTCGTCGTCAGGTATAGCTGACGTGCAAAAACCCTCATATGGGAAGGTTGTCGCGGGTGTCAAGATGGGAATCTTGCACCTTGACTATCCGACTACCTCATTAATGATGAAACAGCAGAGCATATACTTTGTGCCTGTCCCGCTGGGGACTGAATCCGATTTATAGAGTTTGGCAGAGCCAAAAAATATCAACTAATCAGCTTCGTTAAGAAGCTGGGTTTATTTGGTCGAGTGTGAATAGGTGTGAGGCACAATGAACCCTTGCGGGTTGCGGTGGAAGGTCGAGTAAACCAACTCAATTTGGACCTAATCTAACCTTGTCAATAATTTGTATTATTGATTTTTGGCTACAAGTTGAAAAAGTCATTTAAAAAAAAATCAATATTCATTCCAAGCTTTCTTTAGTGGTGAACGTTTTGAAAAACAATATTTGAAATTTGCTTCAAAATTTTCGCCTCAAATTGTGAATAGATTTATTTCTTTTGACATACTTCAAAATACGTGATCATTTTCATTTCATTTGATTGTACAGCGTGACCTCCTGGTGATTTCACAGTATGCTCTGCTATCTCCAATCCTACCATCTGTCTTCTCGTATTATACATATATTCACATCTTATATATTCTAAATATAGTCTTTCGTTTTTTTGAAACGTATTTTTTGTTTGTGTCAAAAGACATATCAATGTTTTGGTAGTTCTAAAAGTTGCTCTTACATTATATCTTCCAACACATTGAGATCTCTTTTGATACAAACTAGACCCAAAAATACGGTTGCAAAAACGTATCCAAAATACGTTCCTGTGGAGAAATTCATATAGGTGAAACCTCAAGACCCCTCGATGTGTGAAAAAACGAACACCGCGGATATATAAGAAGAAGATACATGGCAGGATCGGGGATAGCGGAGCATATTCTAAAATCAACTGGTGGTCACCTTATAGAATGGAGTGAAACGAAAATCATCACCAAAGAAACTCATGAAATAATTATAAAAGTCAAAGAATCCGCATATATTCATTTAGCAGGTTAAAACTCTATTTCAAACAGCTGTGTGCAAATGAATTGCATCACTTAGAAGATAAGTTGAAAACGGAAATATGAACTTCAACATCCAGTGTATCTATTCATGTAAACTATGACATGATATGACATCTGGACATTTCATTCTTTTGACGTATGTCAAAGGAATTAAAGCTATCACAATTTGAGGCGAAACTTCCATAGTGAATTTCATGTTTTAAAAACGGAAAAAGATTTTTTGTCGAAACGTGGACCACTAAAGAAGGCTAAGTATAAATATTTAATTTTTTTATTGATTTTCTAATTTATGAGTACATATGTTACTTACTAATTAGTTTATATAACGCAGTGGTTTATATTACACAGTAACTTTTCGGGTTGAACTTTTCAGTTTGCCCTTATTATACTTCTGCATAATCTTTATTGATTCAGCTTTGTTTATTTTTCAGATCGTAATGATAAGAAGTTTCGAGGCTTCCAATTTCATTCAAAGAATATACACTGTGATCAAGATAAGAATGAACAGCATGGTGATATCGGATACGGGGTCGATTGCATCAGGGAAAAATAGCGCATTTATGATATGCCATTTAGAAACTTCAAAATTCCGAGTAGTTTCGGAGATATCCGAGAAAAACCGAAATTTGAGGATTTCGTTTTTATTTTCTCCTAGCATTATATTCAAAGGAAATGTAAAACAAATAGCACCTTGCCACGGGGACTACACGATAACGTAAGCATAATTTTTCTGCGACGACTCCATTTTTCATTGTGAATACAGCAACGTATCACACAATATGATTTCATAACCATTTCTCACGCAAAATGAAGAGTGATTACTCAACCTGCTTTTCTTCAATTTTAGATAGTACGCTTTGGAAAAAAGACACATACTGTTGTGTTGTCATAATAATACTGTTGTTTGGTAATATTTTTGACATATTACCGTTCCTACTTTTACATCTCGTTACCCACCTAATTTGTGTAAAAAATGGAAAACGGCAGCTTTTCGAATACTAAAGAATTTGATATGTTGTCATGTTACATTTTGTGCCAAACAAATTGTGTTGATGCTGAACGTCGGTACTCTAATAAATATCCGGAGAGGCGACAACTTGGTAAAATATTCTGACGTTTCAATTTAAAAGGCTACAGATCATTTAAAAAACCTGTGGTATTCCGACAAAAGCAATCTAATGAAGGAAGTCAGCGTGATGTGTTACATACAGGCCGTTGTTGAAAATCCTGAGAAATCCACTCGCACCATTGAACATATTACTGGAGTAGCCAAATCCACCGCTCACTTATTTTTAAGAGAAAATAAATATCATCCATATAAATTCAGGATTGGTCGTGGACTCAGTTCAGGTTACGATGCAAGGCGAGCAACCTTTTGTAAATGGTACACTAGAAAATGCCAAGACGATTGTAGAGTCCAGAAGAAAAAACTACCCTTTCAACTCCGGTTCTTTCAGTTCAATGGAAATTGTCAAATGAGTATCTACTGTTCGTACAGCAATTACTGCAAACCCCAACAACAATACGATTTACTGAGAAATATTATTATCCGTAATATTATTTCTCACATAACATTAATTATTAAATCTGGCAGGTTTTTTCGAAATTCTGCCACTACGCTTTTTCATAACGGAATCGGGTACTCTGCTTTTAGACACTCCCGATTCTCCCGAATGCACTTGTGGAACACTATCGTAATCGGATACTCTACTTTTTGAATTCACTCCCGCACTATCATCTTCTTCAACTGGAAGACATGGCGACTGGGATTCTTCTGCAACATGTTCCGATCGTGATTTCACAGAAACATCCGGATCCAAGCATTCCAAAGGATACAGCTTCTGTACTGGTCGAAGAATTTGACCATTTTTAGTTTGAACACGAACCAGGCGAACTACACCATCTTTCCCAGGTAAAAGTTCAATAACTCGACCCATTGACCACTCAATGCGCTTCTGATTGTCGTTACCCACCAAAACAATCTCACCAAGGAATACAGTTCGTGATATCTTATTTGATGCAATTTTCAGCGTTCCCAAATATTCATTTCTAAAACGTCGACGCAGATCATCTCTCAATTTATGTTTGTGTCTCATTTTACGACAGAGAGACTTTCTGTCTATTTGATCACAATCAGGCATACCATACTCATTACCAAGATCATTTAAAAACATAGCAGGAGTCAAGGCAACTAGATCTGCTGGATCGTTAGATACGTAAGTAATTGGTCTACTCTTTACTACAGCTTCACACTCGCAAACCAAAGTTGTTAAATCTTCATAGTCCAGGGAAGCTCGACCCAACACTTTTCGGAGAAGAGTCTTTACAACACCAATTGAACGTTCCCAGAACCCACCCCACCATGCGGCTGTCGGAGGGTTGAAACGCCAAGTAATGCGCTGCGATAAACACTGTTCCGAAATTTTAGACCAGTCAAGTTTTCGAAAAGCATTTTCTAGACCAACGAAACATCTATCGTTGTCACTATAAATTGTCTTAGGCCGACCTCTGTGAGCAACGAAACGTCTCAAAGCCAACATAAAAGCATTAGTTGACAACGAAGTAGTTAGTTCGAGATGTATCGCACGATAAACGGCACAAGTGAATAGACACATGTAAGCTTTGTCTCCGTTTCTCAAAAACAAAGGTCCAGCAAAGTCGATACCTGTTATTTCAAACACATTGGCATCACGAACTCGATCGATTGGTAATGGTCGGGAGATAACAGTCAACTTTTTTGCATTGAATTTCCTACACGTGAAGCATTTAACAATTACAGATCGAACGGCACGACGTCCACCTAGTACCCAATACCGCTCTCGAAGAATGCTCAACAATCCTTGAGTTCCTATATGACAAGACCGTACGTGCTCCTGAAAAATTATTTGATGAACTGTAGGATGTTTAGATCCTGGATCCCACATCAATCCCAATACTGGCAAAGGTACTACATCTTCATTGTTGTAGTTACTGTCCTTTCTAGTGAACTCCCACCCTCTTAAGTCAAACTTACCCTCTGCCATAATCATAGTGGCTTCTTGCAAAAACACGGTGTTTAAAAAAATATCTTTGGCGACTGATACTAATTCCTCCCGTGTTCTGAGATTGCTTGGTTCTTCAATACCCAATACATCAAGATCCCATAAAGAACTGATGATGGAATCCTTCACACCAAGGTTGACCTGATCAAAGAGTTGGCTATATTCAGATTGTTGTGCATTT